AAGGAGGTTTTGGTATAGTGTATAAAGCATATAAGGATGATGGAAATATTGTCAATTGGAACCATAAAACAAATGATTGGACAAGGTCTGCTGGAGGATCTGTTGTTTTAAAGATTCTACATAATTCACAAAATATGACTGCAGAATTTTTAAAAGAGGTAATACTAATTTAAGAAATTTTGAGCAAATCTATTAATGAATTTAATAAAATTTAAAAAAAAATTTATAGGTTTATTTCCACAAATTATTTAATTTTCCAATCGTTACCTCTAATGGAATTTCTCAAGACCCAATTACTAAGAATTATTTGATGGTAATTGATTTTATAGATGGCAGTAATATGAGAAAATACTTGAAAGATAATTTTAATCAAATTTATTTAAATGATAAATTATATCTTTTAAATCGTATTGTGGAAGGGTTAAAAGAAATTCATGAAAAAGGATACGTTCATAAGGATCTCCATCCTGGTAATATATTAATTTACAGTAGGTGGGAGTGTCGTATTACTGATTTAGGATTATGCCAGCCTGTATCTAATCAATCAGATAAGCAGAACGTTTATGGAGTCATACCATACGTAGCTCCAGAGGTTTTAAAAGGAAAGGATTACACTCCAGAATCCGATATTTATTCTTTCGGAATAATTGCACATGAAATGCTTAATGAATTACCAACATATCATGATTTGCCTCATGACGTATTTCTTGTCATGAAAATTTGTAAAGGACTAAGACCAAAGTTTAAAAGGAAGGTACCACGATTATTAGAACAGTTGATTGATCAATGTTTAGATGCAAATCCATCAGCACGTCCAACAGCTAATGAATTATGTCAAAAATTACAAAAATTGATTAACTATATTTTGAACGATCATGATGCAGAATTTACTAAGCAATATAATGAGGCGATTGAATTTAATAAAAAATCATTATCCATGGAATTAAATACTAATCCCAATCCTCAAGCGGTTTACACTAGTAGGCTCCTTGATTTCAATAACCTTCCCGAACCTCAGAATTCAAATGAACTTTATTTAGTTAGTGGATCTTTAGGTGAATTATATTTGATTTATGAGCAAGTTTAATTTTTTAATTAGTTATTAACACGATTTATTGATCAATCATAGATTCCTTCGAAATAGGTATTTATTCATACTTGTACTGTAACTTACGTTGCTATATATTTATTAATCTTTTTTTTTTTAATAGATTAAAGAAAATTTGCTAGTAAATCCGTTAAACGAAAAAACAAGCGCACGAATTATTATTACAAAAAAATCAAAGGGTTCGATACGGTCTATTTTATCGAATTCATAATTTTTAAACTGAAATTTGTAACAAATTATTCGTATGTAACTACAGAGTATATTCTTTCTTATCTATATCAACAAAAACGAACTTTTTCAATTATTATTTTATATCCAAAAGTCGTAACGTTATAATTTGATTTTTTACTTATTTTGCAAGAGTTTATAACTTTAATATTTAAAAAAATTTGCTAAAGAATTATAACAATAAAATATTTTAATCTTTTATTGAATTATTGAAAATCTTCAATGTACCAAATCAACTATATCCTTATGTTGCTTCAGATAATTTTAAATAAAGTCATAGAATAATTAACGTGACGTTTTTGCCCACTAAATAATACTTTTATCTACAACCTTGTAAGGTATTTTTTTTTAGGTAAGGAAAGCTCTTCGCTTGCTAATTCCTATTTTCTTTTGAACTCTTTTTTACACGTGAAATACACGTGAAATACATCGTTATGGTGTAGGATTGGAAATGGAGATAAATAAGTTATAATAATATAATTGAATTGCATACGATTTAACTTACTGTATTGTCTGATGATATCATCGAAAATTTGTCTGAGTTTTTTCTTATCGGATATACAAATTTAACTAACTAATAATTATTTGAATAATGTCATGGGAACCTTTCTTTTTTTCAGTGAATTGAGTGGTTGCTATAATTCTTGCAAAATACAAGCCAAAATTACAATCATTTATGTGATTTACACTTAATATTCATGAGTTTTAATACAATGCTTAGAATCGTAAAACCATCTCCAAAATTCATTAAAAGTCATTTTTATTCTTTGCAAAAAGTTCCATTGCATTCCGTTCCGCAACTATATCGCAAACCCTGAAAGAATTTTTTTAAGATATAGCTGTATTACGATTATCGGAAGTTACAAATAAGCCACATTAAAACGCACTGTGAGAAATCAATTATACAAATCCGTTATTGAGCTGTATTCATTGATGCATCCATATCTTTAATCTTATTATTATTTTTCGTATCGAATTATTAAACTTAATATCTCACGGTTTTCCTTTCTAATTTTGAAAGTTTAACGCAATTATAAATAGATATGCCACTTTTAAGGAGAATTCTTTACCCATGATCGATAGCAGTTGACAAAATTTAAACACAACAATTTTTAAAAGATGTATTTGCAAAATATTCCGATTTTACAAAAAATTTTAATTCAATTTTTTTAAAAAGATTCGATACATATAGTTTAAAAATGAGTTCTTATTAATCAATTATTGATAAATCATAAGATGATGCACGACGGATTTTTTCATGAAAAGCATTCTAGAAAACTTCCAATGCCTTTAAATATTTTTAATTCTAAAAAAGCGAGAATAATACATTAATTCATTGGATTAATTAAAATATATAGTACTCATATCATTGCATATTTCAATGTAATTTAATAGCTATGTAACAAATATATCAATTGGAAATTTAAATACAAATAATAATTCAGCATTTTCGTTGCAATTTAATAGTAATATGTGAATTAGAAATATAAAATATATATGATAATATCAAGTCGGTACAAGTTTCTAAAGTATTTCTGCAGTATAAATTTATTGTTTTTTTCGATGAAATTATCAATAAATCAATATGAAATGGGCCATGCATGACTATTATATTTATCATTTATAAATGTATAGATTAACCATCCACTTCGACCAGTGATCTATACATCCATAAATTTTATCATGTACTAGATGTACCGCGTTTCCAACGTGCTTAATATGAACTTTAAGAAAGATGAAGCTATGATGACGATTTAAAAGTTGGAGAATACTTTACAAAAATGTATCAATTGTTAAAACATTGTGAACAGATCGTGACTAAATAGTATACTTGATTAGTAATAGTTTCGTTATAATATGTAAAGTATTAGTCTAATTGAAGTTACTGCGCATTTAGACGAAATAGAAAAAGTTTATTATAAATATTATTAAATAAATTGTAAATTTATTTTTCACTTTGTAAATATTTAGCAAATATGTTTTAAATTTTTTAAATATGTTTATAAGATTTTGTAAATACATTGAAAAGAATTAATGAAGATTTTTTTTTAAAATTATTTAATATACCAATAATTACTTTCAATGCCAATTAGTATATGATACATAAAATTAACCTAACACCCCGCAACGAAGGTCTATCTAACAATAAACGGCTTTGAAGTAATATGTATTTCTTATAGATAAATTATTCCCGAAATCATGACCATTACTAATTACATTCATTATCTTTACAATAATGAACAAAATGAACAGTACTATTTGTATCTTATAGAACATATCTGTCGCATATCTCGTAGCCTATACATACGGACATCCCAATTTCGTTAAATTAGTAATTTCAATCTATTGATAACAATAAAAGCAAAGTGTTGATTATTTTTTTTCATGACTAAAAATAGATCGTCAATTGCGAAACTTTCCACCCTTTTCTTTGGAAATTATTGCGACAGAATCACTAACATGAAGACGATATTGCATGTTTATACCATCATCATCTACTGAACAAGCAAGTTCATAATGTGACATGTACTTTCACAAAATGCTGTTTCCTTGATATGCTAATTAATGCCAGTTCTCTTCGAAAAACGAAATCGTTAGTCAAATTTTCTTCGGCCTTTCTTCTTGGTATAAGTTTCTTCAGGTATACGTTTGAAATACACTCAGTAAATAATATAAACAGTTGTTAATTAGAAAATATACAATCAATATAATAAATATTTAATCAAACCTTCGCTTGTATCTTCCTCAGGTTTTTCGATAATAAACCAATTAGGGATGCTAATGTTTACGGTCATGACCGGTCATGTCCGGTCATAACCGTAACCGATATCAGTCGGTCAAAGGTTTCTGACCGACCGGTTGACTGACCGATTTTGACCGATTTTGACCAAACATTTTTTAATTCCAACAATTCTTTGAATTTAATTAACAATCATTTTAGTTAATTAATTTTTTATAAATAAAAACTTTTAATTTATTTTTTAAAAAAAAGTTCGCTTAAATATGAAAGTAAACTTAATATGCATATCGAGTTAGCCTAAAGAAATAAGTAAAAAATATAAAAAATCGGAGTTTTAGCAAATACCATGCATGTTAAAATTATTTAAAGCTTAAATTAAAATTATCGATCGAGAACTTTAAATTATATTATTGTTATATGGGCCGTCAACCGGTCAATATAATCGGTCAAAGGCCTCTGACCGACCGTTGACCGACCGTTACCATCCCTAAAACTAATCATCTAATAACCATTTTAAATGATGCAGAAGGATTACTAAGGCATTGTTAGCATTGTTTGTAAAAGAAAATCGACTATCAACGCCCCCATAAAATAAATGACGCATCGCAAACAATGCATTGTAGTGTTTCAATAAGTCAAGGTCTATATTTTTCCGATTTGTTCGTGGGACAATATTTTTAAATATTCGATGAACCATCTCTTTCGTTCCGACACCAGTGTTCAAAAATGTCACATAATTTCTAACAAGTTGTACCAAATGATAATTAACATGAAAATTCGGAAGATTCTCAAAATCCTTGAATGCCTGTACGTTTTGTAAATTAATAAAATAATGATAATAAAATAGTAATTAGCACGATTTGTAATTGTTGGATTGCATTCGTTAATAGAATAAAGATTTGTATTGATAAACAAGAAATATAATTACCTGTGAAAATAAAGTTCTTTCGTTATCTAAACATTCGCGCAACTTAATGTAATTCTCTTCTGTAAAAGAATGCTTAAACGTTATTACCGTCATCTTCGCCATTAGTATCCAACATTTTAACCACAGTTCACAGCTGAATCACTACGAGATACGCCCGTTCTCGCTCGGAACTTGTCGATTTCAGATTGTTTGAAGTGTTTAGACTTTAAGAACCTATTTAAAATAAACGGAAACATCATAGTGAGACGTAAATAATCTGACATCATAAAGCTGTTGATGTGGGATATTGGATTTGGCACCTTTTACCACATTCTTGGATATTCGAACGATTTCCAGAATAAGATAAATTCCGATTTTCCTTCTTGTGAAAATGCTTCGATTGTTATTTTTTAGAAATCGTAATACTTTTCCAGCAATAACTTGATAGACATCTTGTGGTGACTAAAGATGTCTCTCTTTTTTTAATTGGCCAAGTATTGGTGGCTAAATGCGCAATCCATACTCTATTGCAAGCTCTTTACTTTCGTTATCATCTACAGAAATTTCTTTAAATTGATTATCCGTAAGATAGTGATAACGAGAAATAAATGATAAATCGAGACCATCGGAAGTCTAAGAATCCTTTTTTGCATTACAAGTTCGACACCTTCTTATAGCACGTCTCTTAATCCAGGCTAAATCGTTTCTTGGAGCAAGTCTGTAGTTGAAACTTTTACTTCCTTGTACATCAATTACTATTCCTTTTTCATCTCGTTGACAAAAGGCCTAATGAATTCATCAAAATAGCCACCGAATGGGACAAAACCTAGCACGAGCTTCCTTTTCTCTTTAAATTCCATGTTTCTGATTTGAACGTAAACACTACCAAATGAATGATAGACATTACAAAACGTCCCATAGTCATTATAATACATATCAATTTATAGCTTGTATATCGGAAGATGTGTTGGCAATTTTTCTAATGGAAAGGATGACGATAAGAACACGTGACGCTCTTCAACTTCCAATGACCATGATGCTTATAAAGAATTTCCTGAATAAAAATTGAAGAATGTTCATTAATAGTATCTTCGTTGTAAAGTATAATAACTGTGGCATGTTTGATGATTTCTTGTAATTCAATAGTTACGACTGCATTTTCTATCTCTCGAACTAACAGCCACACTTCAACATATTGCTTTGTAATTTATTCGGCAATTTTCAAACCTTAAAACACGTTGGATTGTTATTTAGAGCTCGCCATGTATTTCCACTATCGCTAGAATTCTACCAATTCTTGTCATTTTTTTTCTATAAACTACGAAATTCCCGCAATTATACATTGCTAAAAATTGAATAATATTAACAATAGCTATTGTTTTGTTGCTATTGTTTAGAAAAAAAGTAATATTTGATAAATCAGTCATTGTTTCGGTTGTTTATTCATGAAACGTTAATATTTAATTTTCTCCATTAATTTGAATAAATGCACATCCAAATCATGGAGATTCCTTCCATAAATTTCCGTGTCAGAGTTCAAAATTTCTTTCAACCTTTTGACCCAGGCCAAAATACATCTAGCCAAATAGTGAAGGATTGTTGAAAGTATGCCAAATTATATCTATGATGAATAATTAATACATACTGTATCCTTAGTTTCTCAGGAAGTTGATGAGTTTTTTTTGTTCGAAATACGAATTTTGCGTGATTTGATAGGAAGTAAAGGTAATCTTTGTCAATACTTCCTAAACTGACGAATGTTTTACAATATCTTCGCTTTTGAACTGTGGATGATGAATTATATCCACTAGCTCATCGTAAGCTCAGGTAGCTATTGAGTAAAATAATAAAACAAAATTCACTTAATAAATATAAAGATAAAGAAATCATTAAATTGGTTCTTACATATGTTGTGTTTTTGAATCCAAAAAAACATTAATGCTTCGGTAATATTTTTGAAATACTTCATCAGTGTAAGACATTTGTTCATTGCTTAAGGATTTATCAACGATTTTGTCTGGCATTTCTACGTTCGGTACTTCATCATCATCTCATCACCCGATAATCCATCCTTGTTAGATTCTTCATAACCATCAGATAATTCATATTCGCTGAAATTATTATCATCATTACCGTCATCAAATCTTCATAAGATTCATTGTTGAGCAATTCATCTTCAGAAAATTCTTCCTCAGCGAAAAAATCATTAGCATTTCATAATCACTTTCATAGTTGACTCCTTCATTTGCCATTTCATAATAGGCTTCTTCGTTTGGCACTACGCAGTCGATTTCTTCATTTGGTACTACATTTTCTTCGTTATCTAATTCTAATTCAATACTTTATGTGTCTTTTTTATTGTCTGAAGAAGTGTTCTATTTCATTCTTTGTTTTAATTAATTAAATAAATTATATAAACAATATTCACCATTTATTCTAGCATCATTTTTATTATTTGAAAACGCTTCAAATGTAATATGTGGGTGTCTTATATAATTTTGAAAATAGTAATAGGAAGTGAAACGATTGCGAAACATTTGTAAAAACACTTACGCGGAAAATAAGAAGAAAATTTAAGAAAATATTTATTTAAACTTCTGGAACAGATCGAATTTATCACAACAATCAATCCTTACGTAATAATTTGACTTTAGTAATAACTATTTTATACTGTATAAAATCTACAATTAAAAAATCAAATCTCTAACCAAATTTAGTAATGATAATTATGTATAAAAAAAATCAAATCAAATTTAATAAGAAGTTATTTATAATGTCTTTTTTTTTCTCTTTGCCTTTCATTAAATAATCCTTCTAGAAAATCAAAGAAATGTGCGATTGAAAAAATAAGCACAATTAGTACAAATACTAAAAAAAACTCGCGATAATCAAGAAATAGCAGATTCATATGACCTTAACAATCTTTTGATTAATACAGATATTACGCAGAGTAAAAGTACTAAAAATACAAGTAAGAGAGGTCGCAAAAAGAAAATACAAGAAACTGAAGCTACAGATATCTGTCAGCTCTAGAAACAGAAATCAATAGAAGATCAATGTTAATTCTAGAAGAATGATTTCGAGGCCGTTATCTTTAGAATCAAGAGCCAATAACCGAAATGAATTCTTATCCTCTAAACTGAAATCAGCTTTGAAATCAAGAACCAACGAATTCAGCTCAATTAAATATTAATAGTCAAGAAAGGTTTTTTGGAATCGGATTCAAGATATTCATCAGGTGTCAAAGTCAAGACGATGACTATTTCGCTCTTTCAAAGAGAAGAACCAATAGTCCTAATTATTATGATCCTTCAAATAGAGCATTACATTCAAACTGACGAGGTCATTACCTTTAGGATCAAAAGCAAATACAATGAATATTATTAATAATACTTTTGACGACGCAACTCATCATTCTGACACAATTAACGAGGACAATTTAACGATATGACAATTTATCAGCTTTGTTCGTGTTTATGTATGAATCCTAATGTCTTACAGATGGTAAATAACATGCATTTGTTAATGCAAACTTTAGCTGTAAAAGGGTCAAGATTTATGCCATCTATCTCAACTGGGTCATTGAATATAACGTCAAATCAAAAGAATAAGACGAAGGCATGCCGTGACTTTTTAGAAGAATTGAAATGTCTATTTTTACGCATTCGAAATCCGCCGAAAAGTGCCTTTGAAGAATTGATACGACAAGTCCTTAAATGTGAACTCAATTCAGCAGAAGGCATTGAATAGCTTCATACGGAAAATAGACACTTTGGTGACTTTCGTTATTAATTAGGTGTCGAAACTCTGGTGGAGGATTTTAAAGAAAAAAAAATAAAAAATAAACTTTTTAGTATATTTCGTTTTCTTTTTATTTAATTTTTATTAATAATATTTATCAATTAGACTTACAACGATCCCATTACGAAAAGAAAAAATTATTTCTTTTGTGGATGAATCTGTGACGGCTCATGTGTTAAGTCAGTGTGGTTAAACACCACCAATATGAACGAATTACAGGTTCTGTGTAGATTTATACAACGTGCATTTGTTGTTAATAATTCAGCAATAGACACCGAAAAGACAAAAACTTTAGATAAATTGACAAAAGATATCAGAGTACCATCGCGAAATGGTAAAAACTTTGCCAATAATTTGCGCTTGTTATAAAATCTTCCATATGTACTATTTTCATTGTTTATTTTTATAATAATTACATTTAACAATTTTACATAATATAATACTTTATTTTTATAATCCGTTAAATTTACACCGTAGAAACCATTTAGAATTTAATTACTAAACTAACTAATAAATTTATCAGTAATTATTTCCTAACGCATCACAAAAAAAAATTCTACCGATTAATAATCGGTATTGTTTACTATTATATAAATATTTATTATAATTCTTTAATCTTCGAAACTACTTGATAATAAAACAGTGGCGACATTTTTACGATTCGCGACGTAACGTGCAGTAACATGATTTTCTAACGATTAAAAATCGAACACGTGACGAATAAGTATAAAACATCGGGTTTCTTTAAAGTACCTTAACAAGTGATGAAAAAGTTTAGAAGGAAAGAACCATATCAAAGTAATAATGCAAAAATTGTTACAAGTATTAGAAGCTTTACTGGTAATGATCGTAATAAATCTTCTATTACCTGTTATTGCTCCAAAATATCGTTCGGAAATGTTGTATTGGTGTACCTCTTCATGTTGTAAGTATCTAAATTGGCACTATCATCTGGTACTGTTAGCTTAAGATTTGCATCCCTCGGTTTTAACTGCGCCAAAACTGCGGCTATGATGATCAATATATGCGGATCTTTAGGACAATTCGGACTCCTTGGCAAAGAAATATGTCAAAATGGCCACTTTTGACATCAGGGACCAATTGTTTAGAATCTCCGTCACCCAAGCTGCAAGCCTCCTGATGAATGCCATAGCATAGCCATGATAAATTAGCTTCGTTTCGCTCTTAGTTTACGATAGAATTTGAACAATATTGTAAATAGATAGTTCTTTTCTTGGGCCTATTAAGAACGCCGGCATTTGCAGTAATAGTTGTAATTTGTTATATTTAGTTCACATTTATTTATTAAAACTATTTTCTTTATTTAATTCAATAAAAACTTTATTTAAAATTGATATACATTAATTCTTTCGCTATATTACATCGCATTCAATAAATTAAATAAATTACACTAATTATCCTTCCAAGGTCCAACTATCGACCAGGTAAAAAGGATGATTTGTTCAAAAAATCGATTCAACATATAATACTCGTGATGGTCGTATTGTTCAATTGTCTGGCTGGTAACATTGTTGATCTCGTTGGTATAGATCAATATTTTCGCAAATCTGATACCATTACTACTTCAGAGACTGCTTATAATTTGTAGGTTATGAAATTTTCAGTATCTCCTGTAGTTTCAAATAGCTGTTGATGTAAAGAATTCGGCCAAATTAAGATTAAATGTGTATCCAAATCAGATTCTTGTGTGCGAACTAGTAATTCTGAATTTGTAGAGAAACTTTTCAAGCTGAATCTTCAATAACTGTTTGATCCAAACGCTAAACAAACCTAAATCGCATATACATAAAGGCTTTCCCTATGAGAGTTATTCAATGAATGATATTGATGAAAAAATTACGCGTAATGATTTCAAGGCACATGCATGTCTTTTAGATAAAGAGCATGGTTGTGACTCTCGTAAGATTAGTATTTTGTCCTAATACTATACAAATTTGTTAGTAAATTTAACCAAAGGGTTCAATACCTAATGAAACCAAAAATCTTGCATTGTTGTATTCCAATGGGAAAATATATGCTCTTGCCGTTTCAACACAAATGCTGTTGTATTATATCCTGATTCTATACATCGTGGCGATGATCAAATAATTCCTACTCGTCATTGTGCTATTTATGCTGTTTTCTTTAACAGCTATTCCAGAATTGTTGGAACATGTTTTCCTTATAGAAAATCAATGTCCTAAAAGTTATATATATAGTCATCATGGTCACGTCGAAAAATATCGTTCTGGTACTCCATTGTCCAATATAAAGGCTCATAAATATACTTTAATTTTCAAATTAAATAAGCTGACTTTAACTTAACAGAAAAATATTTTTTTAGGAAAATAAATGTTTTGTTTCTTCGTACTAATACAGCGGATAAGCTTTCCCTAAACTAAATTCTCACATTGGAAACTCATGAGAGGATTAGAATGCGGTAATGTAGCAAACATTATTAAGAGCATAAGAATAAAGGACTTTCCGAAGAAATATGTACATTTTATATATTATATTTAACACAATATCAATAATTCAATTGATAACTCCACTTCTGAACTTATAGATACTAGAGCAATATTAAACTTTTATTGAAATATTCAAATTATGCAATACAAATGATTTATAAATATTTGCTAGATTGAAGCATTTTTTATACGTGTTTTCAATAAATTTTTAATTTTAAAATTTTTAAACTTAGAAGAGTATTTAGTTTTTAAATATTCAGGATTAATAATTATTAAGGAATCGGGTAAATTTGGTAAGCTTTTTATTTGAGTATTGTAGCAATAGAGTTCTATCAAGGAATCGGGTAAATTTGGTAAGCTTTTTATTTGAGTATCATTGCAATAAAGTATTGTTAAGGAATCGGGTAAATTTGGTAAGCTTTTTATTTGAGTATTTGAGCAATAGAATTCTATTAAGGAATCGGGTAAATTTGGTAAGCTTGTTATTTGAGTATGAGAGCAACCGAGATTTGTTAAGGAATCGGGTAAATTTTGTAAGCTTGTTATTTGAGTATTGTAGCAACTGAGTTTTGTTAAAGAATCGGGTAAATTTGGTAAGCTTGTTATTTGAGTATTGTAGCAATAGAGTTCTATCAAGGAATCGGGTAAATTTGGTAAGCTTGTTATTTGAGTATTGCAGCAACTGAATTTTGTTAAGGAATCGGGTAAATTTGGTAAGCTTGTTATTTGAGTATTATAGCAACTGAGTTCTATTAAGGAATCGGGTAATTTTGGTAAGTTTGTTATTTGAGTATTGTAGCAACTGAGTTTTGTTAAGGAATCGGGTAAATTTGGTAAGGTGGTTATTTGAGTAATAGAGCAATAGAGTATTGTTAAGGAATCAGGTAAATTTGGTAAGCTTGTTATTTGAATATTATAGCAATCGAGTATTTTTAAGGAATCGGGTAAATTTGGTAAAGTTTTTATTTTAGTATTATTGCAATCGAGTAATGTTAAGGAATCGGGTAAATTTGGTAAGGTTGTTATTTTAGTATCATAGCAACTGAGTTCTGTTAAGGAATAGGGTAATTTTGGTAAACTGGTTATTTTAGTATCATTGCAATAGAGTATATTTAAGGAATCGGGTAAATTTGGTAAGCTTGTTATTTGAGTATTAGAGCAATAGAGTATTATTAAGGAATCGGGTAAATTTGGTAAGCTTGTAATTTGAGTATTAAAGCAACTGAGTTCTGTTAAAAAACTGGGTAAATTTGGTAAGCTTGTTATTTGAGTATCATAGCAATAGAGTATTGTTAAGGAATCGGGTAAATTTGGTAAGCTTGTAATTTGAGTATTGTAGCAACTGAGTTTTGTTAAAGAATCGGGTAGATTTGGTAAGCTTGTTATTTGAGTATTGTAGCAACTGAGTACTGTTAAAGAATCGGGTAAATTTGATAAGCTTGTTATTTGAGTATTAGAGCAACTGAATTCCATTAAGGAATCGGGTAAATTTGGTAAGCTTGTTATTTGAATATTATAGCAATCGAGTATTTTTAAGGAATCGGGTAAATTTGGTAAGCTGGTTATTTTAGTATTTTTGCAATAGAGTTCCGTCAAAGAGTTTGGTAAAGTTGGCAAGCTGGTAATCTGAATATTATTACAGTCGAGAACTTG